GGGAATGCAAATATGACTACCTGTGCTATGGAAATTCTGCTGATCACACTTGAATATACCTTCACTTGCTATAGTGCATTTTGCTCAAACGCATTCCAGGTCATCACTATCTCACGTTGAATTTGAAACTAACAAGAAAGTTATTCTTTCGTAATGGTCTTACTTCACCACATCATTATTAGATGAAGTCATCTCCAAGGGCATCCGAAAATTCCAACAAAAGACGAAGTTATTAATTACATTGTTCTCTCTGAATTTCTTTTTCATACAAATAATGGCAATGATAATAATTGTAACGAATAGCTTTATCAAAAAAAAAACTGCAGTTCAGCGCAATTGTAGCATTTCAAGGCTGATAAGAAACTCTGCTCTCAATCCACTCCGCAGCTAATCCAGCAACAGAAAAGAGCACTCATCAGTGTTTACGTGACAATTGGTGCTGAAAGTCTCGTTAGAAAGTGCAAGCGCAATTCAATCAAATCGTGCACAAAACATCACCATAACTATCATCNATCTATCTGTCTATTATTTTTTTATTTCATTTTTGACTGATGAGAACTCGATTTCACTTTTGAATTTTTGCTTTTGGTTTGCTACGATTGTTTTTTCGAATGTTGAATTGTTCGATTGATGTGATTTTGTATTTTGCTCACAGTGTAGTGAGTTTGATGTTCATCAGCAATGATATGGTTGGTTGGTTGGTTGGTTGGTTCACTTCGTAAATCATCTTAACTAAGGCACACAACAACACTTCAATTCTTTCCGACAATTGCATTGGGGAACCGTCCGACAACAAAAGTTTTGATTCAGTTCAATTTCTCAAACATATTCCCTTACATTAGCTAGCTGGTACATTGCACAATGAAACCTATACGTGAGCAGTTTTTATTAGGTATTTTGTTTCAGAGTTCATCAATGACATCAGTAAATGATCGCTTCAAATTTCATCTTGAGAATAAGATTCCTTCTTGTTGTGCTATGAAATGCTGAGTTCAACAGTAATCAAACCAATTTGCCCAATTGTTTAATGCACGGATGACGGTGCGAAATTTATTATTGTTGGTGCGAAGTTTATTATTCTGTTTATTATTATTACTTTGCTGACAACACAGTCGAAACACATTATTACTAAAAACGATTTGTTAAGGGACACATTGATAAAAAGAAAAAATCATTCATTGTTCTGCTTTATTGCGTACCAGTTCTGTTTATCTTTTCGCCCTTTTCTGATTACAAACAACCACCACTGAAGCGTCGTTATCACTGTTGATGGAAAAAGGAGAACATTTGGGACGACGACGTGTGGTTTGCGAAAATAACTGGGATATAATAGGAACAATGAAATTGCACACACACACATTGCATCATGATTTTATCGATTTTTCGTTGAAAAAGTCAAAACGACGAACCGTAATCGTAGCATTCCGAAAATTAAGAATGAGATTATTCGAAGACGGTACTCTATTCAAATAGGAAACTGCAAAATAGAATGGTGTTTGGATGTTTGGAAAATTTACTGCTGAGAAAGCATGGTCAGCCAAGCCAATGAAGCAAGGCGATATGCAATGCGAGAGTATCGGAGACTCAGTAATGCCAACTGAGAATAAATAATTCGCCGGTTATTCTTCCTGCTGCTGCTGCTGTTGAGCCGGAGCACTGTCAGTGGGCGGCTCAATGTCTCCTTCACCTTCACCTTCNCTGCTGCTGCTGCTGTTGAGCCGGAGCACTGTCAGTGGGCGGCTCAATGTCTCCTTCACCTTCACCTTCCGTGTCACCAGCCACTTCACCCGAATCCACAAAATGCACCGCATCGTCATCGTCGTCCGCGGTTGCATCTTGATATTGCTGGTATTCAGAGACTAAATCGTTCATATTGCTCTCTGCCTCAGTGAACTCCATTTCGTCCATCCCCTCACCAGTGTACCAGTGAAGAAACGCGCGTCGTCGGAACATCGCTGCAATTTTTGCATCAAAAATATTATTGTCATTCGTACAAATTCCTTCGATAATCTGCAATACCCAAAAAAATTACAATCATACAAACTGCTCTTAAGCATATTTTTATGCAGCAACCAATCAGCATTGAAGATACAAAGTTTACACATGTACACATGCAAAGCTCATGAGCGTAATCAAACCACTCTCACCTTCGAACTGTTCTGCAATCCGAATGAAAATCTCTTGAATGGCTGTTGAATTACCCAGAAATGTGGCGCTCAATCGGAGACCACGCGGAGGAATATCACACACCGCAGTTTTGACGTTATTTGGAATCCATTCCACGAAATACGAAGAATTTTTATTTTGAACATTCAAAATTTGCATCTCCAACTCCTTGAAAGTTCAGCTTCAGTGATCGCGTTATCATATTGTCAACGTAAAAGAATTTGAAGAATGCTATTGCTTTTTGTTACAATATACAATACATCA